TAAGTAATTTGATACGAAAGATCGCCAACTTACAGTTTGAAAAAATAATGAATATCTTTACAATAATATAATTATCAAATTCCTAAAATATCGTTCACTTTAGACTTTAAACAGATCAGATATGATAAAGTAAAGGCACCCATACTTTATCCACATGAAATAAACGTCGCTTAAAAGACAGAGGACTTGGGTTTTGATGGTCACCATGCTCATTCTGCAAAAGGATATCATTATCCACCCATACTATTTCAGAGATTAGGCCATTTCTGACAATTAGACTGTTTTTGTTGCAAAAAATAACTTGCATGGTTAGAAATATAAGAGTCGGAAAAAATTTTAAGCTTCTGTGACAGAACGCTGAGGAGCATGTCACGTGACCGCCTATATCACGTGATCCGCGCATTGGCAGAATGGTTTTAAAAATCGGAGAGGACTACTTTGAAACATTTCAACACCGAAACCCTATATCATTTCTTTTTTGGAAGTTATTCAATTAGTTCGCGAACTTTTTGATCACCCCTCGTAGTAACATTAAAAAATAAATAAATTCTGATCAAGCAATAACACTGAGTAAAGGAAAAAATTAATAAAGTGCAAAGACAAATTTCCATGGAAAAATACTACATATACATGGAACATGGAAATGCTGAGACTTGAAGTAAATAGAAATATGAGAAATATCTGGATTTCTTTTATTTATTTATATATATTTTTTTTTACTTAATTACAAAATACTATCAAAATCTTTTTGAAGACTTGATGTACAGTTGGACTGTAATGTGCCGAAATGTGTATTATATCTAGTAGAAAATGGTTCAAACTTACCATTCTTATGCAGCTAAAATAGTATGTTCAACAACCTAATCTTCTTTCTGTGTAGATATTTATATAGCATGTCTTCACAGATGTTCAGATGATTAAAAGCTGCTTTGAGGCAAAGTATCCAGGATAATAAATAATAATGGGAATCCTGATGTGTTTTATAATTAAAACTTTGAAATGATCGATTTTAGTCTAAAACTAAAATTGTAGAAAAACACAATGCAATACCTGTTACAGTGCACATAGAAATACGATACAGATTTGACATCAATTAAATTCGGTGAACAGTTATCCAAAATCGACTCCATGAGAAGGGGCCAAAAATTCAAGTTTTCATTTTGGCGCCAGTCTTAACTGGCGCCAAAGATTTTGGATAAATTGAATTTTCCAGGAAAAAATCCGGAAAACATAAGCTTATTCGACGGAATAAAGATAATGTTTACTTCATAAATTATCTAGGGGAAAAGGTAACTATTTTCTTCTCTTAATGGTCATTATATTATGGATTGACATACACATTCAAAAATCTACACCCTGGACAATCTAATGGTCAAAATTAATATTGCTATCCAAAAAGGAGAGTATTTATAGATGAGCTAATATGATACCGTTTCCTGCAAATGTGTACGTATGCTTATTGAAATTATAATCAGAGATAAACCAACAAAATTACGTCCAAGAGCAAAATTATCTCGTTCTAAACAAATCTTATTTAGCAATCCATTTAAAGAAAAATAAGCCTAAAATTTTGTCTTTGTATAACTCTATAATGAATAAATTCTTTATGATTTCATTATTTTTTTTAATGTCAAGTATTAGTTGAAAAGGAAATAATCTTTATTTTTGATGTGACAAAGGTATGGGAGCAATAGGGACGTATACGCAGTATCAACAAAATTAGGGTTACAGTAATGTAATATCATTGAAAATGCAAAACGTGCAAAATTGAATGAACAATTTTTTTGTTATCTATGTTAAATTAGTTTATCAAACAGCAAAACAAATTAACCTTCATGCATCCTAAATATTATTAATCATGTCTTGATTAAGTTGGAAAAATATCACCATTGGTTATAAATATTTTTTTTTGGATCTGAGCAACACAGCGTGTTGCAGATTTAAGGCTATTTATATGTTTGAGAAAGTCGAATAGCGGGGACAGATCTGGCAATATGGTAAGAGAACTTCATATATTTATCATGTTATTGTGATGATTTCTTTTTATTTTCTTCTTTTTCATGGTATTATATAAGTATCCTTACTTTATAGAACAGAATCGCTATATTGGCTGCTGTTGTAGTTCTAAGTATTGCAGGTAAGTTAAGGAAATCTTTCTTGCAGCCTTCTCCAAAAGAAGGTTGGTTTCCAGTTTCATGGGGAAAACAGTGACTTTAAATATTTTTTTGATACTCAAAAGCATGCTCTGAATACTATCAATTTTGAAACCAAGGCAAGCTACTGACAAACAAGCTAACCTGACAGTGATTTCAAAAGCCTCCTTTAAAGTCAGCATCTCGAAAATTTTATGTTCGTATTCATAACCTATTTGCAATACAACCTATCAATTGTCGGTTTTTCGATGCCAATTGACGTCACAATTCTCTCTAAACACAGCGAACTTTGCTTAAATTTTGCATTAATTTTTCTTATATATCTAGATCTGCTTCTCTTTAGGAATTACAGAGGCAATGTATCTAATAATCCCACCAAACCGTGGTATCAGAAACTGGGACGATGCGGTTGCCTTTTGTCGGCGACGGTCAGCAAGAATTGCAAAGATTGATAGTGCTGACGAATGGAATACTTTGTATGATATCCTTAAATGTGAAAACAGTAAGTCAACTCCTTACAGCGGCCACGCTTGGACAGAATAATGTGTTGGAGCAATCCATAAGAGCAAGACGATTTGGTCAGTAAAATGGCCAAAACTTGAAAAGTATATCCTTAAGTCCACCTCTAACCAGGGAAACACTTCGTCAGTAATATATAAAGCCCTCCCCTAACAGTGGGAAGTTTTGCGGGTCAGTAATGCTTAAATACTTAAAACTCGATTCTCCCTTATATCCACTGCAAAATGAATTTTTGCGCATTTTGAGGTTTTGATTTTCTGAAATATATGATTATTTTCCAATTATGACAAGAACCTTTTCTCAATACATATACATTTACATTGCTTAAAATGCAGTATTAAACTGAAGGCTTAATGAATTACAATTGTCTTTTTAAATAAGTCAGGTGTACATATAATCAGGAAACATCCTTATTTTCTGTAATTTATTTGTATAAATGTGAGTACCACTAATTTTAACAATTCATATGATTCCAGACAAAGGAGATGGCTGGTATATCGGAGGTAGGGCAAGAAATGGAAACTGGTACTGGGAGGACGGATCATACATTTCATACAAAAACTTCGCTCCAAACTTTAAATTATTCCCACAGCAGGGCACAACCAGAACTGTCTACAATTACGCCTTTGTGCCTTCTGTTGGCCGCTACTGGAAATATGTGTCCCCTCGATCATCTAACGTTCTCGGAGTCATTTGTGAAAAGTCGTGTTGATTTTGAAAATAAAAGATTTTCTTCTGGTGCTTATCATTTTTTTATTTCTTTAATTTTCATTAAAGAGTATGTCCAGGATAATAAACTGCATTTTATTGTCATAGCACAAATACTTAATCTCCAATCTGACAACAGATTGGCCTTCATGAGTAGAGCATTTACAGTTAATTCTGATGGTTGAAAAAAACAGAATTGATTACAAATTGTAAAAGAGACATTTATGTCCCTACGACTGGAATTGAACCCTGAGCCTCTGACACGCCAGTTCAGTGCTCTACCAATGGAGCTAAAGGGATAACCAACTATCCACAGCTTGTAGGAAGACACAGAAAGTGGGGTTTGACCTTCTAGTACATGTAATTTATGTTTCCTCATGCTGTACAATCTCACCGCAGCTCGCTCTGTTTTTGCTGAAACAAGTGCCTGTGGTTTTGTCCTATGCTCAGCACTTAGGGTCATTGAGCAGTGAGGGGTCTTTTTCATGCCAGCACCTAAGTACAGCGACACGGGACCTCGGTTTGAACGGCGACGGTCTCATCCGGAGGACCGGTCTCCACGTCCTCCAGTGAGGTTTGAACCCGCGACCACAGGCACTTGTTTCGGAAATAAATTTTTAATCCATAGTATAATAATACAAGGTTTCTAACTCCGAATTACACTCAGTACCTCCTCCTCAGAAACGCACCCATTTACACTTTCAGATGAAATGCACTGGCAAAATTTTTATTACCATTGTCTTCTATGATAATTTATCAACACAACCATATGTAGCGGGACCGAGCGTGCGGTCCTTTTTGCTATTTTAAGATCCTCCTTAAAATTAATTAAATTCCTCCTTTGGTAGCGTAATAAAAATTCCAGTTATAAGTTTACAAGTTTATTACATGTTTTAATGAATAATCACAATCACATTATGTACAAGTAATCCAAAATATAATTTCACAAATCGTTAATCCACTTAAACTCTGTCTATCACTGACTATCTCTATCTCTCCTATCTAACCCCCTGTCTCCCAGTACGCGTGCGTGCACGCCCTATATATACATGTGAGGGGCAGCTCCGGTGGAGCTGCCAATACACAGCAGCTACCGGGGAGCTGCCGCTCTGCGGACACTTTAATTACGTAATATAAACAAATACTTTACAACTCCCCCCGGCTAAGATTTTGACCCCGTTCAAAATAAATTATCGAAACAATATAAACATAGTATCATACAAAATAAATATTTACATACAGTTAAGAATCAAGAAATTAGTTTAATTAACTGTTAAAAAGTTCAAGTTTTAAATAATCAACAGTCACTGGTTGAAATCTCCGTAGACGTTTCGGTCTCGGTGGCACCACGGGCACTGGAAGTTAATGTAAACTAGTGCTAATTGTAACGGGAACCGTTACAGATGTTCCCCAAACGCTCCCCAACTCCCTTTTTGTGCCACATTCCCTGTAAGCTTCATTAAATAAGGCAAACTATATGCATTGAAGACTTTAACAACGTTTTTCCAGAAGGATACCAAGTATATTCAAATTTTAGCATAGCACGCGTGCGCATATGAATGCGTATGCGTAATGACGATATCATCTTGTCTACACTATTTAGAAATCTTGATTCACTAAATATTGAAGCATTTAATCCAAAAGCATTTAGAAAATACGCTCATTCAAATGTATTTTTAATTTTACTAATTTCACGTGCATGCACGTGCATACATGTGCATGATGACTACACCTTCTTGTAGGAGTTTATTATGTCTGCTTATGGTTCAAATCCCATCCTGTTTGGTTGAAAAACAAAGGAGTTACAGCCATTTAAAGTTTAAGCCAATCAGTTTGCAGCGCACGTGCTTGCGCATGTATTTATGAAAATTGTTATATATCATATTGTAGGATATCGTAACGCATGCCTATGTTTAAAATTTCATAGCATTTCGTCAAAAATCGAAAAAGATATTGAGATTTTTGTTTCAGCCAATCAGAGCAAAGCGCATGTGCACGCACGTGCATGCATGTGTATGATGACCATACCATCTTGTAGAAGTCCATTGTGTCTGTCTATGTTTTAACTCCCATCTTATTTGGTTGCAAAACAAGGAAGTTATAGCCATTTAAAATTTAAGCCAATCAGATAGCAGCGCACGTGCATGCGCGTGTTTTCATGACAATTGTTATATCTCATTTTGTAGGACATCCTAAAGTTTGCCTATGTTTTAAATTTCATATCATTTTGTGAAAAAACAGAAAATATATTGAGGTTTTTGTTTCAGCCAATCAGAACAAAGCGCACGTGCATGCGCGTGAGTTCGTGCTAATTTGACAGTGTCATTTTATTTACACTACTAATATATCCTTTTATAATGAGTTTCAAAGCATTTCATCAAAAAATTTAAAAGTTATGACTATATTAAATATATCAGTCATTTCACTCATTTCACGCGCCCGCACGTGCATGCGTATGCGCGCAAAATGACCTTCGTTCCGCACACCTACACTACACACCTATTAACCCTAAAAAGGTTTTAGCTCAGTTGGGTGAACAGTTTCTGAGAACACTCGCGGACAAAAAAAGTACCGGAGAACAAATAAGAAAAAAAACTAGATACGATCTCGTTGCGAGCAACGAGTGGGTCTTCCGTCCAATTCTTAATAAGATGAGAAAAGATTTTGATTGAGATTTTCATTCAAAAATAATGATTTACCACAATCTGTGTGTGTAAAAAGACATTGAATATTAAAGACTTTAAAAATCGGCTTTTGGCCCCTAACGGCCCTTAATTTTAGGAATCAGCCCTTTTTCTTCATATCATCTTAAAGTTCTAAAGATTTTGATCACTTTTTGTTCAACAACTGTTAAGAAATTCTTTTCGTTTTTTGAGCTATTAGCAAAAGAATTATTTAGGGGCCAACCCTTCAACTCCTTAATGGGGACATTTAGCAAAAAAATGAAAGGTTGCATATTGTTTAGAACATTATTTTGAACATCTTTTGTTCAATATTGCTTATCAAAATATTTCTGCCTTTCGAGATATAAAGGATCAAAGATTAAGCATTTTGGCCCCTTGTGGCCCCTAATTATGTTACAAACGACATAAAAATCATAATACATAATTGTAGATGGTTGAGATAAACATCTTTGCTTCAGTAATGTATTACAAAATATTAACTGATAAAGAGTTATCGATTGAAACATTATGGCCCCTCTTGGCCCCTAATTCGAGTGCCCAGCCCCTTTTTCAGGATCTCATCTTAAAGATCTTAAGATTTTAAACATTTTTGTTGAACAACTTTTCAGAAATTCTTTTTCGTTTTTGAGCTATTAGCAAAAGAAATATTTAGGGGCCAACCCTTCAGCTCCTTAATGGGGACGTTTAGCAAAAAATGAAAGGTTGCATATTGTTTAGAACATTATTTTGAACATCTTTTGTTCAATATTGCTTATCAAAATATTTTTCCCTTTCGAGATATAAAGTGTCAAAGATTTAGCATTCTGGCCCCTTGTAGCCCCTAATTATGTAACATACGACATAAAAATCATAATATATAGTTGTAGATTGTTGAGATAAACATCTTTGCTTCAGAAATGTATTACAAAATATTAACTGATAAAGAGTTATTGATTGAAAACTTTTGGCCCCTTTTTGCCCCAAATTTGAGTGCCCAGCCCCTTTTTCTTGATTTCGTCTTAAAGCTCTTATAATTTTGAACAATTTTTGTTCAACAACTATTCAGAGATTCTTTTTCGTTTTCGAGTTATTTGCAAAAGAAATATTTAGGGGCCAACCCTTCAACTCCTTAACGGGGACGTTTAGCGAAAAATGAAAGGTTGCATATTGTTTAGAACATTATTTTGAACATCTTTTGTTCAATATTGCTTATCAAAATATTTTTCCCTTTCGAGATATAAAGTGTCAAAGATTTAGCATTCCGGCCCCTTGTAGCCCCTAATTATGTAACATACGACATAAAAATCATAATATATAGTTGTAGATTGTTGAGATAAACATCTTTGCTACAGTAATGTATTACAAAATATTAACTGATAAAGAGTTATTGATTGAAAACTTTTGGCCCCTTTTTGCCCCAAATTTGAGTGCCCAGCCCCTTTTTCTTGATTTCGTCTTAAAGCTCTTATAATTTTGAACACTTTTTGTTCAACAACTTTTCAGAAATTATTTTTCGTTTTTGAGCTATTAGCAAAAGAAATATTTAGGGGCCAACCCTTCAACTCCTTAATGGGGACGTTTAGCAAAAAATGAAAGGTTGCATATTGTTTAGAACATTATTTTGAACATCTTTTGTTCAATATTACTTATCAAAATATTTTTCCCTTTCGAGATATAAAGCGTCAAAGATTTAGCATTCTGGCCCCTTTTGGCCCCTAATCATGTATTATACGACATTAAAATCATAATATATAGTTGTAAAATGTTGAGATAAACATTTTTGCTTCAGAAATGTATAACAAAATATTGACTGATAAAGAGTTATCGATTAAAGACTGTTGGCCCCTCTTGGCCCCTAGTGTGATGAGTCAGCACTTTTTTCTTGATATCATATGAAAGATCTTGTCATTCTTCACAAATATTGTTCAGTATGTTTTCACAAAATATTTATACTTTAAGAGATATGATGCAAAGTGTCTCAAAAAATCACTCATAATTCGTGTCCTAGATTTCGACCCCTACCGAGCTTCCATACTAGGCACTTCCGGAAGATTTGAAAGTAATGGTGCAAAACTACAATATGTCTTCTATTAGTCCTGAAAAGGACAACATTCTAGCTTTTGTCGTTTTTGAGTTTTTGTCCGGACAAAATGGTCACTAAAATTCGATTAAAGGGCGATAACTTCCGACCGGAAGTGATTTTTCGAAAAATAAAAGAAATGAATAAGGTTTAGTTAATGATACATATTTCCTGAAAATTTCAAGTCAATCCACCCAAGCATCTCTGAGAAATCGTCTGCACAAAAATGTGTAAAGAAAAAAATAATAAGAACTAGAATCTTGTTGCTATGGCAACAAATAAGTCTTCC